AGCTGGCATTGATGAGTTGAGTGGAATAAATAGTTAAATAGACTATTATCCGTGACTTTGTGTAAATTATAATTATAAAAGTCTACGTAGTGGAATTTTTTGAATTTCAGAATCTTTTTATAATAATTCACTCGCCTTGAGTCAAGTAATTTAAGCTTAACTGAGCTTGGTAATTGTAATGACACGCTGTTGGTAAATGGAACTTTCTTATCTTTCAATATCGGATTACTCTTTTTATGCATGACTCGTTTAATTTTTTTTTCAACATAAGCAACGTTTTCATTCTGTTTTTCTTTGCTGCACATGCTTTTTTTTTTCTTTTATAATTCTTATCAGATAAACATTCTTTGCACAGAGGTGCACATATCAGAACCAAAACATTCACAAAAAGAACAAACGGAGGTGTGCAGCAAAGAAGAAAAAAAAAAGTTTTAAACAGAGTAGAAAAAGTGTGAGTGCAGGTGTCTTTGTAAATAATTTTGTGAGAACCTTGTGTTTTTTATGTTTGTAACTAGCACACTTCGAAAGGTAGACAAGGAGTACCCAGATCGATGATGCCTACGTCGAAAATCCTTGCATTTTTCGGCAATAATCCGCAGGAAGGATACCGTTTCCGGCCGAAAGATTATGACAACTTTGAACGAGGGATTCTATGGCCGTATCCAGTAGTCAGATTTTTCCAGATTCGGCAGAGAACGGCTGGAACCGGAAAAAAACAGACCGCCAGATCTGACAATCAGATTCTTCCTTCCATGTTCCATCGCTTTCCGGTACATCTCCGCGAGAACTGGCTCGTGCTCCTCGACCTGGTTATATGTAAGTTTTTTAGGCAATGTAGAATTTTACCTCCTATGAATCTTGATGATAAAAAGATAAGAGGATGGGTGTGGGTAGGTATGGGTGTTTGTATTGTCACAAACCACACCCTTTTGTAGAGCATCAAACGAGCTTTCTAAAGATAAAACAAGTTTTTCTCTAGTTATTGTTACTAGTGTATGAAAAGCAAAAGCAAAACGTAACGTTGTGATGTGGTTTTTTGACCAGCAATTTTGAGACAACTAATCTCAGAAATATTTTATTTTCATAAATATTCATCTTTTCCGTATATCTAATCGTTCTACGCAGGAATCAAGCTGATACAAAAAAAATGGGAACTCATTTATTGTACAGTAAGTTGCAAACTGTAGAAGTATGTACAAGGCGCTCTTAACGATGAAAGCAAAAAATGAATGGGTTATTTTGTAGAGAATTGAATTCTGCATCGAATAGTGTGTCACTCAGCATTTTTTGAAAATTCTAGTTTAGAAAATTCGAAATGAGATTTTTCAAAAGTTAAAAACCTGGTTTTCGATGCCAAAATCCAGTTGGGGTGTGGGTGTGGATATAAGAATGCTTTTATTGTGATCACAGCCACACTCACGCCCACTTTAAAGTCTGTGAAAAAGTTTAATTTGAACATAAAAAATATTATTAACATGTAAGAAAAACATTAACCATGCATGATGTCACTTAATATTTAATTAAAAGTGAATAAGAAACATAATTCAATTTAAGAAATTTTTATTAGCTAATCAATAATTACAAAAAAAACAAATAAATTTATTTCAATATTCACTCAATTCAAATTCATTTTGATTTTGACAGAGAAAAAAATCAAAACCAAATACGAAATCTTGATGCATCGATATGAAGTCTACTATTAAGAAAACACATTTTAACCATAGAACGATAAGGTTCGATTTTGTCACGACCGATTTCTCCATAAATATCTAGAAAAACAATTTTTTTCAATTGTTGAACTAATTCACAAAGATCTTGTTCAAAAACAGCAACATGGTGATCTAAATAAAAAAAAATAATTTTATTAATAATTTATTTCTAAATCTGTTTAATAAACGTACCAAATAATTGAGATTTTTGTAAAGATTCTGTCGATCGCCTACTCAGAACATCACGCACACATCTTGTTTCATATTCTGGTCGAACTTAAACAAAGAAAATTATTTAATAATAAATTTTATTATGAACTAATTTCTCCAATTGAAAAACTTTTCTACTTTTCGTACATCACGAATTTCTTCTAAGAAGTTAGATGACAATAGTAGAAATATTCGAGTGAATTTTAATTATCAATGCTAAATTTTTTCAGCCAACTAGTAGTCGAATCAAAGTCTAAACTATATATTCGTGATCATCTCGTCAAACTCTATAAAATCATATATAAATGAACAAGAAACAATTCACTTGAATTTAACATTATCATCATCTTATATTTCAATTGAAAATGTTAACTTACTTGGTGTCCAAGAAAAATCACCGTCTTGCCAAAGACGCAATGTTTGTAAATATGGTGTATAACTACTGAGAAAAGATACGAGATTTTTTCTCATATAAACTGACTTGTCTGAATCACGATTATAGTTCGAAAGACAAAACTCAATATGTCGAACGGTACTTAATGCATCTTTTCGTAGTTTATCTGATGCCTAAAAATAAAAAGAAACAAATCATTTCAAATTACGAAATTTCAATCATCAAAAAAATCATATCGAGAAGTAAAACTCGAGTGGTTAACGAGTGAAACATAAACTATTCTATTGTTAGTATTTACAAGTTTTCTCTCCTTATTTTCGTTTGATCGAGATATCTTTTTTATCAAAAGATTCAACAAGAAATCACCTATAAACCTGTACGAAGTGTCATTTGAAACTCGTTGTTTTTCATTTACTTGGAAAATAAGAAATCTTTTTTGAGATCTATTCGGGGCTTATGTGATATCAAAAGTTTATTTATAGTTTAAGAAATATCACAATAATACAAGTAACAGCAAGTACTATCCTACTCTTCTGAAGTTACACACACGATTCGAAGAAAATTATGCATTACAGAGTTAAAAACTACACTTCAATAAAATAAAAACGACAATCCATACTAGAAAATTTCTGCAGGAACTCTTCATCGAATAGCGCGGACCAGTCTTAACTGTTTAGTATACAAGAAGATTGAGAACCTTAAGATCTGCAATATGATCAGAAAAAGATGCGGGGTGTGGGTGTTAGGCAGAACAAAATCAACCGACTCAGGCCACATACTTACACTGATACCGAGGTTCACTGTTGATTTACTTCGGAAATGATCTATATAAAGGCTAGACTTTTTTTTTGGAAAATGCTACACTAAGATTCCCTTAATGAAGAATTTAAGTTAACCTCTGATTGGCTAGCTAGGCAATGAAATTAAAAACATTAAGGAATAGTTCACAACAAAGTTTCGACTTTGGGATTTCTTATGGGGAATTCTTGTGTTTTAATTCTAACGACTTTTGAAATTAAGCGAAATCTAGAATTAGATAGGGTGTAAATCAAAGAGGATGATCTTATGCCAGAATAAAATTATGCTTGGCAATGGTTGGTCACTACTCTGCGAAATTCTCTGAAAGAATGTTTCAGATTGTTGCAATCCATGGGGAAAATCTCTACGGTTTAGATCTGATGGGTTCAATAGGAACCAGAACTGACAAAAACGACTAACAAGTGTTTTCGAAAGAAATGTGAAAACAGTTGTGCTGCACGTGCACAGTATGTGCTGGTAACTATACGGATTTTTATTAGTTTTCACGCTAGTGTCACTGACGTGCTTTATTTGTTTACTACCTCTCTGTATATTGAATGTAATCTCTTTTCTCGGAGCATGTAGATTCTGCTACCTTACTGTTGTTCATTTAGATTTCCGTTGGATATTATTGCGTGCGTCTTAGTTTGATTGTATGAATTTATAAGAAAATGTATCACACAAACACGCATGTCATCGTAAGCAAGGATATGGATGCGAATGCCAATATTCACATCCATACGCATCCTTTTCAAACGTTCGATACTACTGTAGTTTTGTTGAGGACTACGAAGCAGTACACAATACCGAAACAGCTGAATATTCAATCGAGGGTCAAGCGAGTCACACATACAAGTGTTACTTGTTTTTTAATAATAAATTAGAGTTAACTTAAATGAATACTTACATATTCAATAGCATGCAAAAGCCATTCGAATTGTTCAACTCGAAGATAGATCAATTGAATTGGCATTGACATAAGATAGGCAAGTACTTCTGCATGTAATTTATCTCGATTGATAGATGTAACGTAATATGCTAGAACATTTATTTTATTCAGATTTTTTTAAATGAAAATATACAAAAATTTAAATATATTAATTTTATATTATAAATAGATACATTGCTTCAAACAGCATCATTGCTTAAATAAACAATGAGATTAGAGAAACAAACGAATAATTAGAAATCTGATAGAGTGTAATCGAAGAATTTTAGTTGAATACTTTACTTCAATCTATTCTTTTAATATTATCCTTAATAATGATATACGACAAAAATCTAACACATCATTAATTTGAACATTTTTCAAATATTGTCTACCGAGGTCAAGTAGAATAGCTCATAAACAGTCATGAACGACTCAAAAACGGCTGGTTTTGTTCTCAATAAAATAATACTTATGTACAACTAATGATAGATATTAAAAGATTCTATATCTGAATATGAATATATTCTGTATGTGTGAACAAGCTGCATTTAATTTAGAAATCTCAAAGAAATTTCATCAAGTCAATTTTTTTATTGATTGTGTTTATTTAATTTCTCTAGAAATATTTCATTAACTCAGATAAATGATACAAAGTGTCGAACTTTGTGTATTTAATGTTGGACAAATCAGCAACCGATTTGAATCTTTCTCAAAGTGATTGACACAATCAACTGTATCAACCAGAGACCATTAACTTTCATCGTATTCAATATGCACAATCCTACTCGAGCACAGCTAAATTATTTTATTCGAGACGACCTATAATATCGATCTTAAGGTGTTGTGTTCTATATACGGATCGATCAATTTCTAGATAATAATACAGAAATATTTCCCTTTTTTTCAAATAAGAAAATCGAATAATTATAAATATTTGTAAAACGTTGTCTATCGAAATGATTCAGAGGATTAGTTTATCATAGTCTTACAATAAAATGAAAACTTACCAGAAGTACGACAAAAACCAGATCCAAAATCAAGTCTTGTAACATATCGAAAATGAATATCGGTCAGTTGACAATATCCTACATTCGATGATGATCGTAAAAAGATCGAATATTCTAAATGACTAAGTTGTTTGTGTCGTCCTACAGAATAAATATTCAATCTAGTTTAATTTGAAAAATTTTCCTCCAGAGTACGATTTAAACTATGCAAATTTCTTTTCAATGAGATTTTTACAGATTGTTAATTTAATTTAATATTTACCCATATTAAATTGAATACAGTTTATATGAGGATATAGAATATCAAATTGTTTGAGAAATACTAGAATTGATGGACATAAATCAATCTTCATGTATTTGACACGTTTCCAATAGAAAATAATTGGATAATCTCTGAAAAACAATAGAACAATTTTTTTATGTTTCTTCCTCAAAGCTAAACATCTTACATAATACCATCAAAAAAATTCGGTTTAATTATTGTTGTTTTTGATGATATATGTTGACATGACATTATTGGATCAAAAGAACATTTTATATTTTTCCATTGACCATTAGCAAAAAATTGATGAGATTTAAATGAATCAATTATTTTTTGAATATCATTTAATAATAATAATTTACATTTAGAAACAATATAAAAATCAAAATCAAT